TTTTACATTATTTTTCAAAAATATTTAAATAATTTTTCAAAATAGACAACATATAATTTATTTTGTAGAATAGATTAACTACTTAAGTTTATTATAAATTTTAATTAATTTATTTTTATATAATATTTTTTAAATTATCATATTTTATTAAAATTATAATATCACTTTTTTAAAACTTAAAAGAATATTCCTTGTTAAATCTAATAAAATTTTATATTAATAGCTTATTTTAAAATATTTTTAAAATTTATAAACTATTTTAAAAAAAAATTTAGATTAAAATAAAATTAAACTGATAGTTGATAGGTTAAAGATTGGATTAAGCCGTCACCAGCTTCCCATTTCCTCACATCCGCCTGAATCTTGCTCCGTCGTCGTCACTATAATACCGGTGCCCGTTGACCGGAACTCGAATTCACTTCGTCGTCACTATTCGATTCCGATATACTAATTGCCGAACGGCTCTCGGTGGACTGAACGCTCGACCTTATTGGTGCTGCCTGTTTGGATCTCCGCCATCAATGGTGTTCTTTACCCTCGTCTTGTTGCCTTTCCTCCTCCTCCTCCTCTACTTCATTGTGCGGCCGAGGCCGGTCAAGATCCCGATCAAGAATCGTCACGTGTTCATCACGGGAGGGTCGAGTGGAATCGGGCTGGCACTGGCCCATCAGGCTGCCTCCGAGGGGGCCCGGGTATCCCTCCTGGCTCGTTCCCTCGACAAGCTAAAGGAGGCCAAGCAATCCATTCGACTCTCCTCCGGGGTTGACGCCTCGATCTTTTCCGCCGATGTCCGCGACTTCGAAGCCGTTCAGCGAGCGATCAACGATGCCGGACCCATTGATATTCTGGTCGTTAATCAAGGTATCTTTGTTCCTCAGGAACTGGAGAAGCAGGAACTGGATGAGATCAAGTTCACGATAGACATCAATCTGATGGGGAGCTTTAACGTAATCAAAGCAGCTTTGCCATTAATGAAGAATAGGAAGGACCAGGGACCCGCCTCCATTGCTCTCATGTCGTCTCAGGCTGGTCAGGTCGGTGGTTTCAAGAGTTGGTTTGTACCTTGATTGTATATTGAATCATGGGTTATTTTAGTTCTTAGTTTTCCAACTGATTTTAGCTGTTTATCTATGAACAAGTTTTAGTGAAGTTGCTGTTGATTGATCTTTGTAATGTATAATTTGGCTGTGTAGGTGGGCATATATGGTTACACGGCTTACTCTGCAAGTAAGTTTGGCCTCCGGGGTTTAGCAGAAGCATTGCAACAGGAAGTCATTGCTGATAACATCCATGTGTCTATGATATTCCCTCCGGATACTGAAACTCCTGGTCTAGAGCAAGGTGAGAATTCATCTATTCTATTCTCTTCTGCTAGTTTTGTCACTGTGGATAACTTAATAAGTTTAGAACTTTTTGTAAGATTGTGATTGTAATTCATTTGGAAATTTTAGATTTTGAAGAGCTTTTGATAATTCCTAGAACACCTATCTAAAAGGGAAAAGGGATTTGTTTTAATTGTATCTATTGTTCTTATCACCTCATGATGGTATTGTAAGTTTCTATCTCCTTATGGGAATTCTTATTTTGGAAATGATTTTAAAATGGCAACTGTTGATAAACTGGATTTAGTTTTGGTGATGAATGGTTCGTGCCCTGGCATTCATAACTTCTGATTAGCTTTTAACAATCTATGATTTGTTTCTTAACTCTAAATTCTTGTGTGAAATAACACCCATAACACATTATGTGATATGTCAGACAGCCATACTTACTAATTAAAATGTGATTCCTTTGCAGAAAACAAGAGAAGGCCAGAGATCACCAAGATCCTAGCAGGTTCCTCTGGTTCGATGAAAGCTGATCAAGTTGCCAAAAAGACTTTAGATGGCATAAAATCTGGTAGTTTTGTCATTCCTTGCAACTTTGAGGGCCACATGCTATCTATAGCCACTGCTGGCTTATCCCCTCAAAGATCATTCTTGACGGCATTTCTTGAGGTGGTATTTGCTGGTATAGCACGCCTTATAGCTCTATGCTTCCAGTGGAATTGGTATGGGAGTATAGAAAAATGGCATGCACAAAGAAAAAGTAAGTTTGCATAAAGAGATCCATTTAGTATTTGTACCCCTTAACAAGACAGCTTTATGCCCATGCTGTTCAATTTCTGTTGAGGCTTTTTCCTTTTTTCATTTCATTTTAAAATGCAATTTACAAATATTTTGCGATGGTTGAAACCAAGTTGAAGAGAGAGAACAACTTAGTGTCTGGCTTTGTAAGAAAAATAACTGTGTGGTCATAAAAAATTGTGGAAGTCCCATATTAGGATCATGTTGCTATGTTTGTTATACATTAAATGGAGTTTCATTTTCTCTTTTAATATGAGAGAAATTGCAGATTTTCTACTTTTATAATTAAGCTCTTAGTTCTGTTTAACTTGAATTGGGATCATACAGGGAACGGGGCTTGTTTTTAGCCTAAAGTGTTTCTTTCATCCTTTCAGTGTGTATATATGACTTCTTAACTAGTCCTTAACATGTCTGCAGCTGCAAGTTTTACTGTTCTAGATCTTAAGATTATTCTATTCTCCTT